TCAACGGAGGGCACTGATGGAGGAAGAAAATGATTCCGTGCAAACACTGATAAGCATCATTTCTCTTTATGTAATTTATACTGCAAATGAAAAAGAGCATGTAAACTGTATTAACAACTCTAACACTCTCATTGCTTCATGAAAAACTCAATTATCTCTTTAGGAACAAGTAACATTATGGTCACCACGTAACTCATATAGTCCTATGAAGGACTACACATGCCACAGCCACTTACTATGTGTTAAGTTACCGTAGTTATTCTGAAAGAAGCATTTGCCAATGCTCCCACATGTGTACAGTATCCTATGAAGTGGGATACTTAGGAGATCATAATGAAGTTAGAAATAGGAGTGTACCTATTCAAGACTTACTAAAGATTCTCTTAAATTATTTGCTTTTATTTCTGAAGATTAGAGATGACTGGCTAACATCAAGGACTCACTTCTGTAGGCTGAAGGTTTTACATTTTGTTTAATACTTTAATGAAGGTGCTAAATTGTATATTTTATGCTGAAAATATAAACATCAAAATATAAACATCTAGCTGATACCTGAAACTCATGAGGAATAAAAAAAATAGGAGATCACAGAATAAAAGAGTTAGGAAGAACCTTGAAAGGGTATATGTTTTGCCAAGTTTGAAAGTCAACTTGAATTCTGTGGGTTATAATTTTCAAATGAAACTTGTGGGGTTTGAATTTGTTGGTGACTTTCCTGTTCAATAAAAAAGGACTTAAATGGCTTATAAAAAGGTCAAAAAACAATTATGGGGCACCAAATAACTCTTACCAAAAAAAAAACCATTTTGATGACTTAAGTGTAAATGAATTAGCAACACATGGATCATATTTCTCTTAAAAATAAGTATGGATTTAAAAATAAGGGGAAAAGCCACGGCATATTTTGTGGTGGCTGAATCCAAAGCATTTGAAAGATATTCTGAAACACTGAAGAAATTGAGATGAAGTTAAACTTGTCTGGTCATAAAACAAAACCAAACTATAGGATTTGCCTATACAATGTACAATGATTACAATGATCTATTTACACACAGATATTCATATAATCAACATTTACTGAGCCCTCACAATGTAGACAGAACCAAGGGGAAAAATGCAGGAAATAAGTTATAATTCTCACCCTTTAAAAGCTTATAATCTGATTTGACAGATATGATCAACACAAGTGTGTGTATTTACTTACATACGTACACATACGACAGAAATGTATGCATAAGCTACATGTGAACAGACATATGCACAAATGCTTTCAGTTTGAATGAAGTGATTAGTGTGACTTCATGAATAAAAACGCATTTATTAAGGGCTTACTGTCTTCAAAGTACTGCACTAAAGGCCAGGAACACACATAGAAAAGCAGAAACCATCCCTATTCTGAAGAAGCAAACATTCAAACAGGGGAAGATGATACAGACAGGAGATTTCTACTGCAAATTAGAGGGAAAAGTTCAATGATCCTTAGAGTGCAGAAGCAAAGAAGATGGTAACACATCTTCTTTAATGTCATTTCCTCTGACAAAATCATATCCTTTTCTGATATTGAACTTTCTGATGGTGACAAAGACTTAGTGGGGAAATTTTTCTTTTCTGAGTCTTTGGTGTCTACGGTTGCTGATCTCCACCAGGGTTGCTTCCCTGGATGATGGCTGTGGGCTGGGCTTTCTAGCAGGACAGGAATCTGGGAGAGAGAAGATGATTCTTTTCCTAGGGCTCTTGGGCTTACTTCCTCATTGGTGGTAGCTGGTCAGAGGCTAGTGATAATAGTATCAAAGATACTCTCCTCCAGAGTAGCTGTTTCCTTCAATGATGGCTACAGAGGCCAGGCTATAGACCATTGGGCACTGCTATTTCTAGTGCCTTGGGTTCTCTATCAAAGTCTGAAGGGAAATGTTGGATGAGGTGATAACAGGGGTTTGACTTGTCTGGCACATGCTGTCTCTTATCCCTCTCTCAGGTTGCTTTGCTAAGTGAGGTAGGATTAATCTCTATCATTTTATTTGTACCAACATCACCAAGTACTTATTAAGTTCCAAACATATGTCAAGTTTGCACTTGTTTGTATTCTTATGTGGATTCTCCCCAGATTTCCCCATTAGATTGTAAACTTCTCTTCAAGGGCAATGGACATTCATCTTTGAATTTCTCCTTCAGGACTCCTAACTTGCTAGTGCTCAACCAACCTGTTGATTGACTAATTTTATGAAGAACGTGAGTCAAGAATAGGATGCTCAAAGAGGGAAAATACTCAGTTTGGTAGAGAGGAGGGAATATTTCATTTCAGGCTGCAGCTATGGCATATGAATGGACCAAAAACTAAAGAGGTGAATCATATGTGTGGGAGGTTAATTTTCTTAGCTTGTTGAAAAGAAATTGATCCTGGGTGTAGTGGGAGAAAAGGCTGGTTAAGTTAGAGGAGGCTTTGGATACTACATAATAAGCAAAGCCGAGGAAATAGAAGTTCGGTAATAAAAAGAATAATTTTCACTTTTTTCTCTGGGCAGCACTGAATAAAAGTTAAGAACAAGAGAAGTAGATGCTCTTATATTCATTATTTCATAACATGGCTTTAAAAGCCAGCAAGGTATTCAAAAGACAAATATGGTGATAGGAAGTAGAGATCTGAAGAAAGATTCAGTATTACAGAATTAATAAATAGGTTTTTAAATGTTGAGGAGCATAAAGAAGAGAAGGCATATGTTAGGGGAGCTCTATGGATCTATAATGGGTAGATGAACAGATGACACCTTTGGGAGATTGCTTTTACTTAACAAAAGAAAAGTACACTATAAAGGTTTGCCTCTAGATTAAGAGGTCCCGTTACCTAAGCTCATCAGTCTATCTGATAAAGGATCAATATTATAATGCTACAATCTAAATCAGAGGTGTCAAACCTGGAGAGACCCACAACATTCCTGAATGTGGCCCAACCAGATTAAAATGTAATTGGGAAATATTTGACAAGATAAATAAAACTACAACATAGATAATGTTGATATGTGGTTTTCTAAGTCAATAAGCAGCCTACAGGGATCCTTATGTAGTAGCCCCCATTTCTATCTGAGTTTGGCACCACTGCTCTAAAAGACTGAAGATGCACCCCGGAGCTGATGTCAAGAAGACTGGGATTTCATGGTGCCTGTGGTTTGTCCTTCGTTCTCAAAGAGGACCAGGACATCAGTGAGATGATGACATGACTTGCAATTGGATGAGTGAGGGAGGGCTGTGCAAAGTCACCACCTTCACTTTCTCTTGCAAAGCCATCTGGGTCCAGTGGCCATGTATTGATCAGGAGGACTGAAGACGCCCAGGATGCAGTAGGAGACCTTGGCCTTTTCAAGCTAAGGTCTTTTCAAGTTCTCACTTTGAGTGAGGCAACTCCCAATCAGTGAATAGGCCTCTTTCAGAAGTGAGTCAAGGGATGGCCCCTTTAATAATAATAATGATAATTAATAATAATAATAATAATAATAATGATACATCAAACTGGGAGGGGAAGACCCTCAGGGTTGCTGGCCAAAAGAGAAACAGTTACTGTTTACATTCACTCTGAGCCAGGAGGGTGCCAAAAATTGGGATTTTAATCCTAAACTGATGATTTGCTATTTGTATGACCCTAGACAGATCATTTTATCTTACTGGGCCTCCATTTCCTCATCTTTTAAAAGGAGATTTTATTAGATGATCTCTAAGAATTTTCTCCCTCTGAATCCCATGACACTAAGGAAGTTCCAGGTGAGAAGTTAAAATACTGTTCTAAGCTTCTAGGATGGCCATTTCTTGTTCTTAAAAACTGATGATTGATTTAATTTCATGAGTGTGTCAGCAATGCCATCTCCCCATTTGATGTATTAAGAAACTGAAGCTCTCTTACTTAGGTTAAGACAATAAGTAGTACGATGGGGAGGAAGGAGCACTGGACTGAAGGTTAAGAAACTTGGGTACTACTCATGGATCTGGAGCCCAGTCATCGTTCCTCATGAGCCAAGTGACTTCACTAGGTCTTGTTTCCTTTATCTGCAAGATAAAGATGCTAGACTAGATTCATGTTTCCTAAACTGTATTTCATGGAAACCTGGTGTTCCATGCAAAGTGAATATGGATTCCATGAAAAAATTTCAATGGTATCAGTATTTTTCCTTTTAAAGATTAAATATGAAATTATATATAAAAATGTTTGTTACAGATGATGGGGGGGGTAATGAAAAATGTCTTCTATTTTGTTCCACAATTTCCCTAACCTCTATTTCTTCTAGAGATATTCCATAAACCCACCCTCTCCAACCACCAGCATTTATGGGTTCATTGATACATTTCAAGCTCAAAAGGACTCTGCTTTAGTTCAGAGGAGCACCCTCTGCTTTTCCATACTCTGCACATTCATTTCATGCTGCTTTCCTGACTCCAAGTCCTTGCTCACACCATTTCTAGTGCCCAGAATCCCATTCTTCCTCGTTACCTGCTGACTTTCTACATATCTCTTAAAACCCACTCACCACATATGCATTCCCCCAAGAAGGCAATGGCTTGTTCTACCTCAGACCTCACCAAAAACTCTGCCTGCACCTCTCATGCACTAACCACATATTGTTTTATATCACAGTTATTTGTTCATGTGTGGTATCTCCTGTTCCTAGTCTTCAAATTCCATGAAAACAGGGACTATATCTTAGCTAACTTTATATTTCTCTCAAAACCTAGGGATAGCATGGTGATATGAACACTGTAGGTAACTGATACATGTTTGTTACACTGAATTAAATTCTCAGCTTTTTTTTTTTTTTTTTTTTTTGCTTTTTTGGCAAGGCAATTGAGGTTAAGTGACTTGCCCAGGGTCACACAGCTAGTGAGTATCATCTGTCTGAGGCCGGATTTGAACTCTGGTCCTCCTGACTCCAGGGCCGGTGCTGTATCCATTGTACCACCTAGCTACCCCTCAGCTTTTTTTTTAATAGTTAATTTCAATAAATCAAAGCCCTTACCATCCTTCATCATCTTCCACTTCAGTTTCAGAAGTTTCATTTTCAGGAGTTTCAGAGATGGCTTGAGTGAGTTTAGATTTAAACTGGTTCAACAATGCCAGTGTCTGAAATAACAATAAAGTTTTGTTAATTTTCTGACAATATTTGCTGCATTTAAAAAATTCATTATTATTTGAGAAAATCACATTAGGTATAAATAAAATCAAATCCTTATGGTGGCACAACTCCTGGATACAGTTCTACCTGGAACACAGCAGGTGCTTAATACATGTTTTCTTCAGGAATTCATTCACATAAAATGTCTTGAGATTGAGAACTAGACAGAAGTTATGAGATGTACTATGAAGATCTTGTCTACATGAATTCTTTCTAGATTTGCACTGAGATTTCTCAGTCTCAGATGATGGCTCTGCTCTGTGTAAGAAACTTTCTCTTCTCTGTTTAATGTGTTTTTTTTTTTTTTAAGGCAATTGGGGTTAAGTGACTTGCCATGGGTCACACAGCTAGTAAGTGTCAAGTGTTTGGTCTGAGGTCGGATTTGAACTCAGGTCCTCCTGACTTCAGGGCCAGTGCTCTATCCACTATGCCACCAACTGCCCTTAGTTTAATGTTTTGAGGTGGAGGAAAAGAGATTCAATTTTGGGAGCTTCTCTACACAAATTCACTCTGCATAAATGGTAAATTTAAAATTTTCTACATTTCCACATTGCTCACATTCATGTTAACTATCTTACTGACACTCAACACTTTGAATAGCAAGACAACTGTTTATCTTTTTATATATACAGTTTTACCAGGAGATAGGTTTATCACATATATAGCCAACTCTCAATTGTCTATACTTAACGCGATTAGACACATATTCATTAAAATGACCCAGATATCATTTCACTTGACTATGGGATACATTTCCCTTTTTTTTTTTCCCTTTTGCTTTTTGGTGAAGCAATTGGGGTTAAGTGACTTGCTCAGGGTCACACAGCTAATAATAAATGATTTTTTTGTTTGGTTGGTTGTCCTTTTTTTTTTTTTGCTAGGCAGTGTGGTTAAGTGACTTGCCCAGGGTCACACAGCTAGTAAGTGTCAAGTGACTGAGCCTGGATTTGAACTCAGGTCCTCTTGATTTCAAGGCCGGTGCTCTATCTACTGTGCCACCTAGCTGCCCCATGACTATGGGATACATTTAGAAAAAACATAATTAAACATTCACCTATTAAGTTCCCCTGCTTTTGGCTCTGCCTCCTATGTCCTCTGCCAGAGTCCTAAGACTTGGCTATGGGGTGAGGCAGTCACTCCACTAAAGTCTGGGAAAAAATCTGTACAGTAGACATGTTATCTCATCTTTTATCTTTATTTTTTAGAATTTTTTTTCTTGGGTTGATCATATAACATCTCTGAAAAGTAAGGAAGAGTAGTTATTATCATCAGCTTATTTTTTACCAGTGAAGAGCTGGGCAAGCACAGACCCTAAGTGAGCTAGCTGCCTGTGGTAGCACAGCCAGTCAGCGTCAATGCTAGAAGTAAGACTCCAGTTCTCTGGAGTCTGCCTGACAGTGCAGTGCTCTATACTGCCAGAAACACAAAATGAAAATATAGAATCCCACATCTGCAAGTTTTTAAGTTAATGAAATTCCTAAAATGGAATAATGAATTTGATTCTCCAACTTATAGGCTAGACACCAAGCTTGCATAAACCTGGAGCAGGCTTAGTTTATAAATCAGGAGATGGGGCAGAAAGAATTCCAACTCTGCTAGGAGTAGAGCAACAGTTTTCATGCACACGTGGTTCCTACGGCATCTGGGGTGCAGAAGAGACTGTGATTGGCTAAAGTGATTTAGTAATAATCTTTAATTCCCTGCTACTCATGATGAATGCATGATTTCTAACTTAATATTTCTCTACTTCACCAGGTGTAAAATTCAATTTAAGGAGACAATCTTTTCCGTGAAGGTTAATGGATACTTTGCTGTGCTTTTGTGCACAATGAGGAAAAGAAAATAGAGCAGAATAACACCAATTACAAAATTAGGTGATCAGGTTAAAGGTCACAAACAAATAGTTCTCAAAAGAAGAAATGCAGACTATCGGCAACCATAAGGAAGAATGCTCCAAAATTTTAATAGTAAGGGACATGAAAGTAAGACAAATAGAAGGCTTTACTTCACACCCATCAGATGGCAAAGACAACAACGGAAAAAAGGGCAAATATTGCAGAGGTTGTGAAGACCAGCACACTGATAAACTGATTTGGAAGAGTTGTGAATTAGGCTAACTGTTCTGAAAACAACTTGAAATTGCATTTTAAAGGTCATCAACTGTATACAGCCTTTGCCCCAGTGATATCTACTTGGCATTTACCCCAAGTAGGTCAAAGAAAGAGAGAAAGGTTCATGTATATCAAAAATATTTATAGCAGCACAGTTTTAATAGCAAAGAACTGGAAAGAAAGTAAGTGTCCATTGATTTGGGAATGGCTGAACAAATGATGGTATATGAATGAAATGTAATATTACTTCACAACATTACTTCACTGTCAGAAATGACAAATATGAAGAAATGAGAGAAATTTTGGAAGATGAGAATGAACTGGTTAAGAAAAAAGTAAATAGAATCAGAAGAACATTTTACACAATGATCATGATAGTATAAAGAGAAACAACATGAAAAGACTGCAGAACTCTGATCTCTCAGCAGAGAGGTGGTGGCCTCTATGTGTGGAATAAGGCATATATTGCCAGACATGGTCAATGTATTGATCTGTTTTATTTAGCTGTACTTATTTATTAAAAGGGAGGGTTCTACTGAGGAAGGAGGGAGTCAGCTGAAAATGATAATTATGTACAAAAAGGAAAGACAATAAAACACTTTGTTAAAAAAATCAAGTGGCTAATCAATATCCTGATATGTCCAATCTCTTAAATAAGTACACATTATTAGAAAACATATGTGACAGCTTAACATACATATAGTTACTAAGAGAGTGTTGCTATCCCTGCCCCCCAATTATTTAGTAGGTGTTAAGGGAGAGGGAGAGTATCAGAGTTCCTAGTCAACAGCAGAAGGGCCAGATTTTGATTGTAAGCAACAGTGATGGGCTTGTTTCGTTTTGTTTTGTTTTTTCAGATGTTTACATCCACAAAATACTAGTCTGATGCCTCATCAGAGTGTGAATATGACTGTGGGTTCTTGAAGACTAAGGTTTGGGAGGTGGGGGAAAGGAAGGGACTAAGAGTATGTCAAACATGTCACAAATAGTTCCTTTCCTGTGTCATCGAGGACTAGGTGAGATCACATCACAGTTTCTTTTTATACTGAATTCCTTATTGATATGGGGAGTGTGGTAAGGCAGCAATGTACAAGATATGATTTATAATGAGGCTGATTTTCACATGTGGTTTGTGCAATGAGTCTCAGTTTATAGTCACTGCGCAAATGTGTGATTTTGCCACCTGTATGACAGACAAAGCATGATATGATGGAAGAAGCGCTGGATCTGGAGCAGGAGGACCTGGGTTTGGAGCTCTGCTACTTGCTATCTACGTGATCTTCAACAAGTCACTTCACTTCACCTCCTGCTTTGGGCCTACATTTTCTCATTTGTAAAATGAAAAGACTGGACCCGATGACTTTAAGTCCTAATCTCAAGATTTAGTTCCTTCCAGCTCCAGATCCTATGCCACACATCATTCTGCAAAGTTTAATGCTCACACTCGAGGTGGTAGTCTGAAAACAAAGACATGAAGAGAGCTGGTGGATGTTATGGATTTGGAGGGATAGGGATTTACATTTTTGTTGATGATAATACTGCACATCAACCACAGGGTGCACAGAGATTCTATTGTATGTGCTACGCTAATGTTTCGCATTTATTTAAAAATAAAATCATGAGGAGTTCAAGCTAATGTTCCCTCTCTATTTTCTGACAGTCTGGTATAGGGAAAAGAGAATTCTATTTGGAGTCAGGCAAACTGGGTTAAAAACCAGGTTCTGCTACTTAATATCTATGTGACCTTGGGTAAGTCACTGGACTTCTCAGTGCCTTAGGTTCCTCATCTGAAAAATTAGGAGATTGGATTACATGGCTGTGCTGTTCTTTACTTTCTAAATCCCAATGCCTGGAGCACAGCAGGGGCTTCAGTTGTTGTCCTATGTTCTCAAAGAGGAAAAAAATGACATCACTATGCTGGGGTCAAGCTACAGTGTGTCCAACCATGGCTGATCAGACCAATATGAGCATGGAAGGCTCTACCACAGGTTGGGCACAAATAGTCCATGTGACATTTGGAGTAGAGATGGCTCTAAATTTGTACATCTCATGTTTCTTTTGAGCTACTGCAATTGACATGGGTACGCTATACTGGGTGGGCCTATGCCAATGTCTCCCATATCCCACAATCAATTCCAAAGTTCTTCAGAGAGACTTTGAGAGTGTCTTTGTATTCCTTCTTTTGACCTTCATGTGAGCACCTGCTTTGTGTGAGCTCTCCACAAAATAGTCTTTTAGGCAAACGTACTTTTGGCATTCCAACAATACGGCCAGCCCGTTGGAGTTGCACTCCCTGAAGCAGACTCTGAATGACTGGCAGTTCAGCTCAAAAAAAGACCACTCAGTGTTCAGTACCTTATCTTGCCAGGTGATCTTCAGAATCCTCCTAGGACGATTCAAGTGGAAATGATTCAGTTTCCTGGCATGGCACTGGTATATTGTTCAAGTTTCACAGGCACACAACAATGAGGTCAGCACAATGGCTCTGCAGACCTTCAGTTTGGTAGGTAGTCTGATACCTCTTCTCTCCCACACTATCCTTCCCAAACACTGAGCTAGCTCTGGCAATGTGAGTGTCAACCTCATCATCTATCTGTAGATCCCTGAAATGTATAATGCCAAGTAAGTGAACTTATCCATAGCCTTCAAGGTTCTTCGTTTTTTGTAACTGATGGTTCCAAATATGGATGGTGTGGTGCTGGCTGGTGGAGAACCAGTTAATTGTTAGGCCACAGTTAGCATAAGCAGCCCAGAATTGATCCATACTTTGTCGTGTCTCAGCTTTACAAGCAGCATAGAGTGCACAATCATCTGCAAATGAAAGGTCACAGACTGACTCTCCCTTCACTTTAGTCTTGGCCTGCAGCCATTTTAAATTAAGCAGGGGCTTAACAAATGCTTGCTGACTGATTTCAAAAGTCCCTCCTAGTTTTAGTCTTCAGTATAGTCAAATTTGTTTCTTATCAAAATGGTTGTGGATGCACTGTCAAAAAAGATAAGAGTTAAACGGAGAGTCAATATTTAGACTGATCTGGGAAACATTTTCTGTTATAAAAAATAAAACCATAAGGAATTGTGACATCATCCTAACTTTCCATAAATATCTCACATCAATCAATCACTCAGTAGGAATTTATTAAGTGCCTACCATGTGCGAGGCACTATTCTGGACAACAGGGATTGAAATACAGAAATGAAATAGTCCCTGTCCTCAAGAGGCTTGTATTTCATTGACATAGACAACATGTACATATAAAAGTGCAGGTAAAATAAATACAAAGTAATTTTCAGTGCCCCTGGGCAGCTCTCTAAGATTATAAGTAACAGATAAATTACTTATTTGCAGTCTTGGAGTGAGTTTCCACACTGAAACTTTGTTAAACTGATAGAATCCCAGGTTTGGTCCCAAACTCCCCTCTCTCTATCTTACACTTTAGCCAAATTGGACTAAAGAAGAATCCACTGTTTTAAACTCTCATTATTTTTAAATAGCAACAGACTTCTCATATACCTGAAAGCCTCATCTCCATGGAGCATGGAGAAAACTGTGGAGGCCCCTCTTTTTTGCAGATGCAAGACTTGAGACCTCCCTAGAAACTGAGATTAAACTTGCATCTTTCTCCTTAAATCGAAAGGGGCCTGGCGGTCTGCCCTAAGAGCCAAATGGATGCGGGGTTGGCATGTGCTCAGAGAGATGGGGCGGCAAGGAATGAAAAACATCTCCCTGGCCTTTGTTAAAGGCCTCCTGAGTTCAAGACTTGCTTCTCTCTGGCTGTTTTACAAAGGCGATGGAGGACAATGGGCAGAAAAGCAAACAGAACTAGAACAGGACAGATCTTAGGCTGGGTTGGAGAGGATCTGCATGGAGGCATCTCTACTTGGCACCCACAGAAGAATCAATTGCTCCATCTTTTGGCTTTCCCAGAAGGAACAAATGATGAACCACATGCAACATGGTTCCCCAGCATGATAAAATCCTGTTAGAAGCTGCTCCAAAGACATGTGCCTCAGAAGACCATATTCACTGGGCCAACAAGGTCTCCTCTGCATGAGGGTTGTTTTTTAGTAAACTGCAGTGGTAGAGTCACCACCATTTTTCTAAAATAAACCATTTAATGGATTTTACAGACAACCCTTTATAGTGGCATAACACTTTACATACAAGGTCTACTGGATCTTCATAATGACCCTGTGAGGTAGGTAGTGTATTATGAGCTCTGCTCTACAAAGGAGGGAGCTGATACTTGGGTGACTTGCCCAAGGTCACACAGGTAGCCAGGGGAATAGTCAGGATTTGAATTCAGGTATCCTGACCTCATGCCCAGCACTCTTTCTACTAGACTAGGTGCCTCTTCAATTCTAATGGGAACAAGGCAATGATGTAGGTTTTGTCAGCTCCGTATGATATGCTACTTCTTTTTCATGATTGGTATATAGTAGGTTAATTCTCTACAATTACAATTTCCTCTATCTGATTTTTTTGTTGAAACTTCTATGATCGATTTCACAGCTAAGCAATGAAGCATAAACTTTTCTCAACAGTAATTAGGCATCATTTATTATGTAGTTCCTGATTAGACTAATTTATCAAAATAGGGTGATACTGATTAAGTTCACTTTTATTTTGTCTGCTTTATTTATGTGACTAAACAGGCATGGTTCCTCAACTGGAGTAACTTGAGAAGAGAGAGCAGGATGTACACAGCCACACTGAAAATAAACAGGTTTTTGGAGTGCTGCTGATGATTTCAGTGAAAGGCAACCACCTAACATGATGCATAGCATGAGAGGTTTATTCCATTAAGCCTTAAATATCCCACTGACTATAATGCTATGCTAACTGTGGAAATGATAGAGTGGCTTCCTCTTTTCTTTCTTTCTTTCTTCTGATATTTTTGAGCTTCATAAAATATCACCTGCAATAGAAATATAAGTATTCTATATTGGTGCTACTGTGCCAATCTGTGATCCCAAATCATGTTTAGGTCAGAAACCTAAAGAGATATTCACTGGAGCTAGGTGGCTATGCCAATATGGCAAGCTGGCATGTGAAGAGCAGGGTTTTGTGATTCCAAAGGATCTGACAACCTGTGGTTTTGCATGACTGTCACACTGTAATTGACACACAGATATGTATGTGTACATACACACGTATATGTGACCTTTCTTTCTGTTCTTAACTTCCTTGCTACCTATGACTTAAGAGTGGGATCCCCAAATCAAAAGTTATGGTCATATTACTAAGTTTTTAAGCATAATTCCAAATGGTTTTGCAGAATGGTAGGACAATTCACAGCTTCATCAACAGTGCATTACTGAGACTGCTTTCCTAGAGTCACACATTCATTATTTCCATCTTCTGTCATTTTTGTAAATTTTCTGGGTATGAGCTAAGACGAACTGTTTGGATTTCCATTACTCTTATTATTAGTGACTTGGAGCAATTTTAAACATGGTTGATAATAGTAAGTGATTATTTCCTAATTGTTCACATCCTTTGACAATTTACTTTATAGGGAAAGGTTCTTGATCTTACATATCTAGACTAATTCCCAATATACCTTGGATGTAACATTTTATACAAAGATTTCTCCTCAAATTATAGTTTCTTTTATTATCCTAAGTACACTGATTTTGTCCATGGAATAACTTCTCAATTTCAGGTAATCAACAGTATATCTTTTCTTTCTATGCTTGGTATAAATCTATCTTGGTTATAGTGAATGATTATTTGGATTTAATGCTGTAGTCTTTTTTTAGGATTTTATTTATATTTTTACATCACTATTCATTAGTGAAATTGGTGTATGAAATTCTTTCTCTGGTTTAGGTATAAGAATAGTATTTGTCTAATAAAAAGAGTTTGGTAGGATGCTTTGTTTCTCAGCTATTAAGAATAACTTGGGCATTAGAGATACTAAGTGATCTTTAAATGTTTGATAACATTCATCTGTAAATCCACCTGCACCACAGTTTGGTTTTTCCTTTGATAGTTTCTTTAAGGATCTTTCTGGGGAGGTAGTACTTTCCAGACAAAGAATGAAAAAAAAAATTTTTTTTTTTGGTTCAGACTTATGATTTCATTGGAATAGGGAACTATTCCCTCTGCTAATGCAGAGCCTACTCTGAAACTTACTGAGGCACTGAGAAGTTAAGACTAGCCCTGGGTCACACAACCAGAATGTATTAAAGGCAGAAGCTAAATTCAGGTTTTCCTGACTCCAAGTCTGGCTTTCTCAATACTTTCTATACTATGCTACTTTTCCATAATCAAATTAAGATACATTCAATGTAAAATCAAGATGGAGCCAACCCTTTCAGGCATGTCTCTGGGAAGGCTTCTGAACAGTTACCTGTTCTTCCCGGGATGATCCTTTTTTGGGTTGTTGCTTCTTTAAAGCTTCATATTTTTTCTTTTCTCTTCGATATTCAGCAACAGCATTATCTGAAGCATCATCTTCCTCTGAGGAGTAAATGGGATATTTAACACAGTTAAAAAAACAAGATTTTCACTTCACAAGATTATTCTAGGATTGCTTGTGCTCACAGCAACAAAAAACAGCACCTGGCCAACAAGATATAAACCTACCTGGTAGACAGAAAGAAGCATGAAAAGACTTCTACGAACTGTTGAAAAGTGAAGCAAGGAGAACAAGGAAAACAACAAACACAATGAGTAGAGCAGTGTAAATGGAAAGTACAATAACAACTAAGTAACTGAAACTGAATGTAAGTAAAATATATAATGATCATATTTGGCTACAAAGAAGAGATATGAAAAGACTGCTCCCCTCATTCCTTTAAAGAGGAAGGGGGGTCATAAGTATGGAACAGTGCATATAGCATCAAATTTTTCAATAGGTTGACTGGTTTTTCTGATTCCCCTCCCCCCCTTCCACTTTTTTTCTATTCTTAGCAAAGGCGTGTCTTTGTGGAGGGGGAAGGTGAGGGATTCAGGGAGAAATTTAGGTGATGTAAAAAAAAAAAAAAAAAAAAAAGGATGTCAATAGAAATCTACAAATCTATTAAATCGCAAATTGAATCCAAGAGCTTGACTCCACTAGAAGCCCTTCCTCAACTAAATACCCTCCAACTGACCAACTAGACTTCATAATTGCTTGAAATTTTCTCTGTTATTTACTATTGATTTTATGTTCAAGGCGTTGTCAGTGAATAGTACACTGTTGGTTTTGATTTTTATAGCCAACATGTTTACTTTAACTAGATCATTTATGAAAGAGATGAGGAGACTCAATCTCTGATATCTGACTAATTGAAATCATCTGGTGTTTGTCAGTATTTGATAAATCCACTATTACCCAACAACAACAAAAAGAAATTTGAGGCCATTTCCCTCAGGTCCTTCTTCTCTACTCTAGATCTCAAAAGCCACCAATATCATTCCCCATTCTTTACTCCAAATCTGATAAAGGTGGGTCTTCTCATCAAGGGTTATAATATCTCTATACCTCTGATCCCATCCCCTATTGTCTCTTGCCCCAACAATAATTATTTCCTCTCTAATTATTTATTTCCCTCTGTCTACTAGATCTTTCACTGCCACTTAAAAATATGCTTAAGTCTCCCATTTCCTTAAAAGTTCCTCACTTGACCTTATCATAGTCTCAAGCTATGGTCCCATATCTCTCTATCTTTTTAATTTCCAAACCCAGAGAAGGAGCTGTTTCTATTCTCTGCTTGCCACTTTCTTTCCTCTTACACTTTTAAACCCCTTCAGATATGGCCTCTAATCTCCGTCACTGAGCCTACGCTCTCTAAAGTTACCACTGATCATCTCTCAATTGCCAAATTTGATAGCCTTTTCTCAAGCCTCATTCTTCTTGACCTCTCTGAAGAGTGTGACACTGTTGACTACACTTTCTTCTTTGTGTTTCTGTGACTATTCTCTCTTGGTTCCTCCTGACCATGCTATCTCATTTAAAAAACAACCACCACCACCAAAACCACTTGACTTTGCCACAATTACATGCAAATAGTAGGTACTTAATATTTGTTCGATTAAAAGGTAATCTTAAATTTTAAGTTATTGTCCTCTTATCTCTCCTTCCTTTCATGGCTACAGACTTATACAAATGTCTAGATTCACTACTTGTTCATGACTTGACCCCTTGCAATCTAGCTTCTCATTCACAATTCAACTAAAACTGTTGTCTCCAAAATTTTTAATTTCCTTCTCCTCTTGGGCACTCTTGTCCCTTAGCTTTTGTAACTACCCTTTCTCGTTTTCCCCTAATTGGCTACCATGGCTTCTCAGTGTTTCCATTTCCCATTCTTTTAGCAAGGTATATCCTGCCTCTGCTGTTACCACCTGTGAGACCTTGGGAAAACTGTATAACTTTATTGGTCCTCAGTTTCTTAATATGTAAAATGAGGTAGTCGGACTAGATGACCTATGAAGTCCCTTATAGTTCTATACTTAATGATTTACGAGATTAGGGTTTTGTCCTGGGCCCTTTTTTCTTCCTCTATGCTCTTACCCTTGGTGATCTCATCTGCTCTTCAGATTTAAGGATCACATCTATTAAGACAATTCTTAACCTACATATCCAACCCCAGTATTCTGTTTGAACTCCTGCCCCACACTGTGAACTACGTGCTAATGATCTCTTCCTGGGTATGACATAGGTACCTCAAACTCAATTTGTCTAAAACCAAACTTACCTTTTCCTTACTCCCAACTCTGCCCCTCCTCCAGACTTTCTTGTTTCCAGTATCTTCCAAATTATTTATGTTATCAACCTCAGAATTATTCTTAACCCTTCCATATCCCTCCCCTCACCAGCTTTGCCAAGTTAATATATCCTTCCACCAATTAATGGTCAAGTTTTGTTGATTGAGCCTCTGCTCACACAGCTACCTCTCTAGTTCAAGCCCTCATCAGCTCTCATTCAGATTATTGTAATAGTCTCCTAAGCGGTTTGTCCTGCTTTTAGTTTCAGCCTAGCATTGAAGGCCTACTCCTCCTTCCTCCTCCCAATCTGACTCACATAACCCTTTCCAGGCTTACTTCATATTATTCTCCTTTAAGAATGCCATCCTTTACTATTAGATACTCCTTCAACTAGACATTCTCCCACCTGGGTGCTTTAGTACAAGCTATTCCCTATGTCTAGAATGCCCTCATCACTTGCTTCTGTTGCTCATGATTCTTGTCTGGCTTTAAGACTCAGCTTAGGGGTCATTCCTTCATGAAGCCTTTCACGATCCCTCAGTTATTAGTTTTCTCTTTACCCAATTTTCCTTGTACTATATGCATTTTTATATGCTGTACCACTCTAATGTAATGTAAGCTCATTGTGGGAAGGTTGTGTTTTGTTTCTATCTTCCTATTCCAAGTCAAGCACAATATCTTACATTTAACAAGTATTTGTTGAACAGAAACTATAATCTTAAAAGTTAATTTTATAATATAATCCCCTAAAAGTATGATAGAGTGCCAGGGTTGGCCCAAGGGCCAAATCCAGTCTGCTACTTGTTTTTCTACAGTGAGTGAGTGAGCTAAGAAAGGTTTTTGCATTTCAAAATATAACAAAGCTTTATTTTAAAATGTAAAAAACATTCTCAGCTCACAGGGTGTACAAAAAACCAGTAGTGGGCCAGATTTGCCTGTGGGTTTGCTGCCTATCAATCACTGATATAGTGGAAAGGATACTTAGGAAAGGGTATCAGGAACTTGGACTCAAGAAAGAGCTGGGTTCAAATTACCACATCTGATATTTACTACAGATATGACTCTGGACACTCCACTTAAATTTCAACCCTTAGCTTGCTCATTTATAAAAATGGAATAATGCTTGTAGTACTTGTCTCAAAGGGTTGTTGTGAGATTATATGACAACGTCCACAAAAATGTTGTGGAAACCTTACTTTATAAATGTTATTATGTGATGTTATAATCATAAATGTTATTATGATTATAGATTCTACAAGTAGTTTGATAATAACCATTTCTCTTGTGGGTTGGAGGCTCTCAGATATAGTGATATTTTTATTTTGCTTATGTTTTCCCCTTACATTTACTTTTCATACTACTTAACCTCTACTAGAAAGGTATATAAAATGGCTTTTAAAAGAACGTATTTCCTCAGTATTTAACAAATAACATTTATATTCAAGTCTGTAGTTATGTTTATGAAAAGGAGTATGGGTACACATGCTTCTGTGGATGTTAACACTGACATCTTAATATTTTAATAACAATAATCAAGTTATTATGATGAAGTATGTAGTTATGCCATGTTATAGAAATATACAGTACAAGGTAACCAGTGATTGTGATGGGAGGCATCTCAACAAAAAAGGTGAAAGTCCTAAGTTTCACTTATAAATTTCAGGAATTATTTACTCTGTGCCATGATTGCTATGGTGATGACCAGCAAATACAGACATAGAAGAGGAGAAACTAGTGAAGATTTGCATTATTAAACTGAAGTAATAATTAGGCTGTAAGTGCCCTTATGATATAAAAAGTGTTTTTAAAGAGAAATAATCTGGTAAACTTTGAAATTTAGGGTTATGAAAAAAATCTATCAAATATAACAAAAACCCTAACTAGGGTAACTACCAGAAGCTTTGACTCAGATAGGTAGGGTTTTTTCCTACTACATTCTTTATCACAGGGCTTCTTAACTTTTTTTTTTTTTTTAGATAGCTTTTGGCTATCTGGTGAAACCTACATATCTCTTCTTGGAATAATTTTTTGTTTTTTAAACCCACAATTGAAGGAAATGCTAAATTTCAGTTAGAAGTTAGTGAAAATAAAGACGTAATTTTTTTTCTCAAAGTTAATAGATCCCTGAAATCTAATAACAGATATAGACCCCAAGATCTATAAGGCTATTCCCTCTCCTTAATTCAATTCAGCAAACACTACCAAGGCATCTACTACATGAAAGACAATGGGAGTTTACAATATAGTGGGGAGCAAAGACATGTGCAAAACTATGCTACAAATTAGAAAAAGATTAAGTGCACAAGAGATTACATGTACCAAGCTCCAGTGACCTTCACAAGGACAAGTCTGTATCACTGGAATAGGGATTGGAGCTGTACTTGGGATTCATTTGGCTTACCTGAAACCAAAAACACTGCAAGAAAACTGGGGGTCTTGCCCTCTAATAACAGATCTGGCTTCTTTTCCCATAGGCATATTGAGTAAGGCGTGTTTTTTGATAAATGCCAGGGATCAATAGACTTGGTGCTTGAGGACTAAAGGATTACATTTATTTCAAAATGGTTTGGCACTTACATAGGAATAGCTATTAAGCTTATTACAACTCCTTTTAGTTTCAACTACTTGGATAGTCTGAGGATTTTCTTTTGAGTGGAGTTATTAAAAATTCCATTCTAATTTGACTCATTAGATTTCTTCAGCTATACTGGATAACAGAGTGGGAAAATTCCATTTACTTCTAACCAGAGATATATAAATAAAGGTAGAGG